AGCGAAATATATTGTTAGACTCTATTTAGCAGAAACGGAAGACTGTGCTGAAAATGACTTATTTCGTGTATAGCTGTGTATTTTGATTTAGCCAGTATGCTGTAGCTCAAACTATTACCGCTGCTTTACCCTGTTAGGGCATTTAGCATGCTACAAGTTATCGAAAAGTTCTATAGTGTCAATATGAAACATTTGAAGATATCCAACAACCCAACAATATTTGTCAAAGGTGAATGTGTGTGTGTACACACACATGATCCTGTTTTACATTCACCTTTGACAAATATTGTTGGGTTGTTGGATATCTTCAAATGTTTCATATGTGTGTGTGTGTGTATTATATATATATTTATATATGTGTGTGTGTTTGTGTTATATGCACACACATATATAAATACATAGCAATAATCAGTAGTTTCCATCTTTCTTAAAGAATCGTCTTTCCAATCGCTTTAATCGCTTGTGAATGATCATTTGCATTTTTAAAAAGCCGAGGCCAGCATTAAGAAGAGGTAAATAAATACATATCCGAAATAAAGATATAAGCTTTGAATTGGCCTTGTCTGCTTATCGTTTTTGGCTTTAACTGTTAGTCAAATTAGTAGTCACACTACTAATGGATATGCCACTGAACTTCTTTTATTTGTGGATTTTCTGATCAGATTGGTAAATTGTCACAATTTCGTAAGATTTTACCTCTAAAAATTACCTGTTCATTAAAAAAAAAAACTTCTTACCAGTTTAAAAAACCCTCTTAAAATGAACGTATGTATTCTTTGTGTAAAACAGTCCCTATACAAATAATGAGAAGGAATACAGGTCTGATCAGTCCAATTTCTATTAAACTAGCAAAAAAACTACAGGTTAAATATAAAATTTTCAAGAGGCAGCGTTGCAAAAATTAAAATCTCTATATAACAGATTGCTGATAGTAATGCGAGTGCATCTGGTGTCTTCCGGTGTAAGTGGCTCGACGTGTATTTCACTGGTGGCTACTACTGAGTAAACAATTTGAGAAACATATATAATATCATATACGTGTATACACATATAAACACACGCATAGATATAACACTTCTATATGTATACGGGTTTGTGTGTGCATGACACGGACGTGTTTGCAGTATACTTAATCTTTAGAATAAATTATCGATCCTGCTGTATTAATCAATCACAAATATGTTAACAAGGTGTTTAAAGAGGACATTGTTACATTTTCGTTAAAACACGAAAATATTGTTGTGAAATATTGATGAATGAAGAAACAAGTATTAAAATGCCCGGAAAACTTTCCAGATGTAGTTGCATACAAAACGTATACTCAGAAATATCGAAATATAAAAAGATTTTTTAAATAGGCAGAGAAAAGTCTTATTTAGAAAACGTGACTGAATATTGATCAGTTCTGATTCCATGCAGCCATTGGATGCACTATTATATAGCTAGATTTATCTATATTTTGTGTATGTGTCTGTGTACACACATATACATACAAAATTGTATATGTGACTAAAACCACAGTAGTTCTATACTGTGGGTGTGTATATATACACACTATATATGTTTTTTCTCTCTCTATATATATACACACATACACAGATCTACATATACACGCACTACAATTAGCACTTCCATTAGTAGTTTTATTTTTATTTTTTTAAATATTTAGTTGTGTCTATATTAAGATACCTGCACATGTATGTTTACGTAGGGCTCTTTTTCTCTATAGCCAGATTATTTGTGTGTGTGTATGTGTGTGTGTACATATATAGAATGAAATTATTTAATGAAGTACTAATTGTGGACTAGAAATAGAGAAGAGGATACACTAATGTGTATTCCATTTTATCCCAAGTGTATTGTAACCGTAGTATGTACTATATTCAAAATACAGCCAACGGTTTTTGTTTTGTTTTGTTTTGTTTTTCCCCCTGCTAAACTCTATTAGGAAGGTTTGTTTCATCTTTGATAACAAGAAACACGATCATTTGAAACCAGGGGGACTATTTTTACCATGCAGCTGGAAGCTGTCATCAATTCGTAACATTTATTTCGGCTTTAGAATGATAGTATAAAATAGCATGAAGTTTCCAGATGACGCCCGTACTGGAGACAGGATTTTTAAGAATAATAAATCAAATTAACTACCTTTTAGATATATACGACCATACTGCCTCTCATCGTGTGTGTGTGTGTATAATACCCCCCCCACACACACAATTTTCCGTATATGCATGTGCGAGTGTATTTGCGTACATCACGTTACACACACACACACACTTATCTTTATAACTATCAAAACAGACCACGTGATCAGAAACACACATATACACATATGCATTTCGGTGTGCGTGTGTGTAGGGATTTTCATATAACATTTTTAGCAAAATCTGGAAGTTCCGTATTATCATATGTTAAGACTTGAAGCCAACTTTTGGATCTTCCTCCAATTCCAAGTCCTGTTTAAAACTCAGAAGGCAGAGATTGAAAAAACAAACACTTTTTTCCTAACTTGAAGAACATGTGTTTCCTTTTCGATATTGCCTTTTTCAGGAGGAAGGCTCTGGGAATTTGGAGATAGGTAATGGATGTTACTTCACTAAGGATGTTCTCTAGAAAACAAGAAACTCTCCTATTTAGGATACTCTGTGTATTTGCCTGCTGCATCAGGCTGCCAGTGTTTCTGAAAGAGTTGCAAATGCCACACATAAAACAGGCTGCTCTCTTTTTAAGTACACACAGTGCTTGGCTTTAGATGTGGACTCCTGCGCATGCGCTCTCTCCGGGCTTGCTTGGGCACTCTGGCTCCACGTGCTGTTGAATATTTATGACTCTCACCACCTCCTAACTGTCTAGAGAAGGTAACCACACAGAGCCTAAATCATCTGAAACCGCTGGCTTTGCTCCCAAAATAGTTTGATAGGGAATATGCACGTGTTTGTTTTCAGGCAGCGATGGTTTAAGTAAGATCATAATATAAGGCATAGTAGGATCATAAACCTTGACTATTAGACACAGGGATAAACAGACAATGTAGCGAGCACAATCATTTTGTGCAGCAACAGAGTTTGTAATAAGCACGGTCTGGCTGCAGCAGCACTGCAGTAGCTGCAGCTGAACAATAATTTGATTAGTTACTTATAATTATTTATGTAAGAGTCCTTCTTTCTCTAACTGAAAAGGCTTGGATATTATTTTATTTTATTTTCCATCGAGCGTACAAGGTATTATTTTTTATTCAGAAACCAAACTGAAAATCCCATTCACTTTCTTCCGTATTTAATGGCATTTGATTTCTTTTTCTTAGTGACTCCACCTCTGTGCTCCATGCATCTGTCTGTCTGCTCACGAGGATATTCTCTCCTCTTTCCCTAGGCATGCTGGACTAATACAACATATTTGATTTAACGGCTACTTTAGCAGATCACCGGATCTATAATAATAATAATAATCATTTTCAGATCAGATGTGTGCTAGCTAAGTTGCTTTTCATGGTACTATGTGGCAAAATGTAACTAACGGATCTACTAGAAATGTATAGTCTCATGGGAAGAGAGGAGGATTATTGTACTGGATTCCTGAATCTCTTCTGTTAGTAAAATCTCATTACTCGGTATGATCCATCAAATTTTATTGCTGATATATCGACATCACGTTATATATTACATGAACAAACGTAAGCTGAATAGCTTTACTATTTATTCCATTTGCAGGGGTTTTTTAATTTATGACAATTCCTTATTCATGTACACAAAGTGATTTTAAGCCTTTTGTATGATAGCAAAGTTACATACCAGGTTAACATTACTAATGAGATTTTTCTATATGCCCTGTGTCTGTAAGAAATGATTTCTGTAGGAAACAACCCACAAATATCATACAGTAGAGCCTTCAGGTACACCTGTGCCTTTACACAGATTTCTCATTAAATGACTCTGTCTTCAGTCTTCAAGTGCGGAGAGGCAAATCCAGCTAGTGGCATCCAATCTCCAAGTTAGCAAAATGGCTACTATGGGTGGAGCAAGATTGTGTTGAAATTATCCAGTGACAATCCACTGTCTGAAGACTCCGTCTCTGTCTCCCTCTGTTTCCCCCACTACATAGTCTAAGATATATTGTGGGACTCAGCCTTTCAAACCAGATACCTACAAGGTGCTAAATAAGGCGGAAGAACATAATTTATTGCATTAATTTTAATGCACATTAAGGGCCAAATCCCGTCCTCAGGTTACACCCATACAATAGCATTGATTTCGGTGGGGTTCTCACTGAGGGCAGAATTTAGCTCGAAGATAGTTTTCAAATCAGGCTTCTTGCAGCAAAACCTAGCTACTACTGGTATTTTTAGTGGCATGAAGGGATGTAATGACTTTTAAAAGAAGGGACTGAAATACACATATGAACACCACACACCTGAGTCACATGATTGTTAGATTGCTATGAAAACACTTCGGGTTCATTTAACTCTGAAGAAAACTGTTGAGCTCCTCTTAATCGTGGGTTTACTACATGTTTGTGCTTTGTTAAGACTATTGCAAATTTGTCTCTTTCCTGACTCACATCTCGGGTTGATTTAGACTGGGTATTTCCTGTTAATCCCAAACTCCGCCTGATCTCAAACAGTCACATTTTTCAGAAACAGACTTGCCAAGTCGGGAAGTGTAAAATATTCGCCCGATCTTAGGGCAGAAGGAGGGAGAAAGTGGCTTCCACATGCAGACAAGTGAATGATATTGTTATTAATGCCTATTATTTTGCATGCTAAATTCCACTTTAAATCATTCGCGCCTTCCTTATTTGCAAGGCGCCTGAACCTTTACCTTCAGGCGTATTTGTTTACAAAATAACATTGGCAGGGGCTCGCCTGACCCGCGGGAGAGTTAACCCTTTCCGCTAGCTGGAGTGAGTGAGCCGCTGAGGTTTGGCCCTCCGTTGCTCTGTGTGTGTAGATCTGGCAGAGCCTTGCTCCTGGATCTTTGTTTTGGTGGCGGCCAGGGAGAGCAAGGAGCGCTGTGCTCGCGCTTCCCTTTGACTCTACTCCCCCCCCCCCCGCCGAAATCCCCTCTTCCAACTTTCAGCCTTTTGCGTTTCCTTTCAGTTTTTCACTTCTCATCCCTCCTGGCAGCGTTTGCCGAGCCCTAGAACCCAGCCCTGGTAAGTGATGCTTTTCTCCATTGCAAAATCGCACCGCTCGGCTCACTGTTCCGTGTGTGTGTGTGTGGACGTTTTATTTGTTTTGAGCAGAATTGCCCAGCCCCAGTGGTTTCACGTCAAGCAGCACAGAGTAAAACTATTGTCGTGTATTAACTCTGAATGGGAGCAAACAGACCAAATAATCATCGCTGGCGTAGGCAGTAGCCATGGCACTAATACAATTCCCTGCAAGTCTGCAAAGCAACTTTTTGTTAAGGGGAGAGCCAGGCTGTGTTTTGAGTCTGATCTTTAAATTTTCCGTACACATCAGACCATAACAAGCGACACAAAGTATGCAGCTGCCACACAGGGACTTTTGAACATCCAATTATGATTCGGGGTTGATTTGTTCAATGAAAACTCCTAAGTGTTACACACTCCCTGATGGCACTCTGTCCAGGTATCCGAGCAATCAAAACCGTTTTTGCAAAAAAAGAAAAACCTGCGGTTTTTTTTAAATCTGTACCTTAAAATTATTCAGATACAGCAACAATGCCACCTATACATTCATTTGTCAATTCTTTTTAAAAGCACAGTGTACAGCTCTGACTAAATAACATTGACGATTATTCAGATGAGGTTGGATTTGAATTACCCCCTCTCTCTCTTTAAATTAAGAAAATGGACATTAATTGCTGAGGATAGCTGCCCTTTGGGTGACATACCTTAGTAGGAAACGGTTTGTAAATGAGGATTGGATACATTAGATCCTATAGTTATCTGAGTAAACTGATACCCAGCCTCGTGATTCCACTGACAGAGAAACAGTTATCCCTGAAGGTTTGAAAGTTTAACAAAGTTCAGGAGAGAAGAGCAGCAGCAGGACAGCGGAGAAGCGGATCCTTGTCGTTGTTTAGCACCTTCAAGTTCACGGCATTTTACGGTTCTCGAAAGCTTTCACGTTGTCACTTCGTGCTGATTATAAATACGTGCAATAATCGCATTCTAATGAATTCCGTTCTTAGAAGCCCTTACACCGAACAAGTGTGTGAAACTAGTGTCCCAGTTACGCTAACAAGTGGTGTTATTTTTTACTCTCTAGCAATGCTGGAAGTGTTACGCGCTGTACTTACAAGGGATCACAAATAGGGTTACACTTTTAAAAATACAGATGGAATTTGCACGTGGTTTAAGATAAGAGCAGAATGGGAGTGATGTGCTTTTACTTTCGCTACGCAAACTCCAACTGGGTATCTTTGATGTGGTTTCTTCTTATTTTAACATTTCCATAATTGCAAAATGAGTAAGTCTCTTAATAAACGAGCCATAAGAAAGGCGCTGCATCATCAGGAGGAAATATCCAAACGCTATTCAAGATGTGTCCTGCGACTGGATTTTTTTGGGGGGGGGTGTCAATCTATATATTGCTAAATATTTGATATAGACACACATGCATGAATTATGCATGCGTGTCTCTATAGATGCGAATATTGATGTTACTTAAAGGGGTTTAATTGAAATTCTTTGACATGCTATAGTAATCTAAATCTCTCAACTTCTCTGGGGGATGAAGCATACATTACAGCCTAGTTAAAATCCTGAGTTAAAAGGAGAACGAAACTTCACACTGCTTTATGAGGTTGTCAAAGTTTATCTTGTTAAGTTGTGCACGACTTTACTCAGATGACAAGGCACAGGCAACTTTTGAGACTTTTTTTTTAATTTGCTGTCAGAAGGAAGGGAAAACAACAGTTCATTTTTAAATAAATCATTTGTTGAACATGTGCTACCCAGCTCATAGAGAGCGGGGCATTTTTTAAAGTGCGCAGTCCTGTCTAAATAAATATAAGCAAAAAAAACCAAACCCCTCTTTGCAATATGGAGGAAAGGTGTGCAGAGCAGGTTGAGAAATGGGCCCAATTCTGCACTCGTCACAGTGGTAAAACTTCTATTAAACCCAGGATTGGGTCCAAAGACTGTAACAGTTTCCACATTTCTAATCAGTCACCTCTGTCAATAATTTATAGGCTAGATTCTGTCTCTGCTGAAGACAATGAGAGTTTTGCCACTGAGTTAAATGGGAACAGAATTTGACCTCTTATTTAAATATAGTTATTCCGTTTGGAGTTGTAGCCAAATTTGCTTTAGGATCATAACTTTGTCAGTAAAATATTGGTCCTGAATGAATAATATTAACTATGAAAAATGTGCACATTAACAAAATATAGACACACCAAGACACCCCTTTCCTTATTTCCATGTATTTCACAAACAGGATTCCAGCTATTCATTTAATAAATCTAAATCATCTGACCATTAATTTGCAAGGTAGTTGGCTGCTTTTCCCAAGCTCGATATCATTCCAAATAAAACTGACAGAAATGCAAAACCATGCCATGCTGTCAGCTTTTTTTCCTCATCAGTTCAGTATTGAGCTCTGCCTTCACAAGTCTTCCTAAATGCAAGACAAGGGTGCAGAAACTGTGGGAATAGTTCATTTTATTCATAAAGTTCTTAAGGTTTGTGTAGAAGTCAACAGGTATTCAAATCTGCACTTTCTAGAGCAAATGAATGACGTTTCAGAGGTTTAACATCTGGTCAGAAAATTTAAACCATGATGGTGTAAGGCCCAGATTTCCAACAACAGCAGAAGCATATGGATGTTCACTTCCAATTTGAAAAAAACACACACAAACATTTCGGTATATCTCCTCCTTCATCTTATTTTGAGTAGATTTTGTGAACATTTACTGTTCACAGCAGCGAATGGAATGAACCTGGTGACTGAACACCCTCAGAGATTGTTGTCCAGTGGTAATCTCAAACTGGTCACATATTAGAAATACACTTGATTCATAATTAATATTTCCAAAACAGGGAAGTAGAACATGTGTGTGGACATAGGTGTTGTTTCTGCATAACAAAAAGTATTCTGCTTTAAAATACCATTTTTGTTTGACATTTGAATGGCCTAAGTACAAATGTCAGGCACTAAGCTGCATAAGGAAGGGTGAACTTTTAGATGAAAAAATATTGTACATTTTGGAACAGTCTTAACAGAGCAGGTGTAGTTCTATTTATTATTTAAAAGAATTATCATGTAATAAATATGCTAAAATCAATCATATCCTACATGATATAAGGATTGCGTATAAATATGTTTCCACCAACTCTACTGTACCACATACAAAATGTTATACCAGTAATTTATAAACACTCTATATTATGTACAGGATATATTTTAAGATGCTTATTTGTATCTACATAATATTTATTTAATTAATTATGCTAAACTGTGTATCCTTGTCTTGAATTTACAGTTTGTGGAAAACTAAAGTATTCAAAAGACTGAAGGTTTTAGACTGGCATTTTGGGTTTAGCACAGAGAGTTACCATACAAACGATTACATATATCATTCTAGTGTCTCAATTTAAACAAAAGGGATCAGCTTTTGGGTGAGTAAAGTATTGTTATATACTTACAATGCTTTTACTGGCAGTCATTATAAAATCAGTATGGACTTGGTTATTTATTTTTATTCACAACAGTTTGCTTGTAAAACTTTTACTATGCTGAATATCACTGGTATTATAATTCAGAACCTATTCAATTAATTCACTTGTAATGCTTAGTTTACATTTTGAAAGGAAAAGAAATCTGTCTTTCCAGAGTTGGACTATATTTTTTTCAAATATTTGTGGTAGTCACAAGGGTATATTTAATGTTTATGTAATGTGGTTTGTGCTTTCTCACATAATTATTCTTCTCAGATAGCAAATTGTTGAATGCCTCCATGAGCAGCAATGGAAAAAAGGTTTGCAAAGCATGTAACTGTATTAAGCTGGTAAAATGCATGAACTCTGAAATAAGAGCTTGATCCAACTCCCATTGAAATCAATGGGGAGACTTCTGTTGACTTCAGTGGGAGTTGGATCAAGCCCTAAATGAATAGCAAATTACAGACCCAGGATAATTAACTGCACAGATACAGAATTTTTGTTCTTTTTTTTTTTTTTGCTTTTTTACTTATAGAACATTATTTACATGCTACTTAAAATAGGTTAATTTCTTGTAATGGTTTTAAGTTTATTGATTCATCTTGAAAAATATATTTATCTTTGGCTCACAAAAGGTGTCTTTGAATATATACTAACTACAAAGTGGCAGCTAACTAACAGAGTTGCTCAAGGTGTTTCTAGTATGATGCCCTGGTCAGCCATATGACTACAAGTTGAAAATTGACCAGATTTCCACACCTCTTTCATAATTGCCAAGGATTAGCACATGTGAGAAAAACATTCTTATATATGTCTTTTCCAAATAGAACTAAATAACTCCCTGTTAATATTGGGAACGGTTTGTGCAATTGGGGCTTTGTATTATGAGACGTCACAAAAAATAAACACTTTTATAGTAATTTGAATATTTCTATTGGGGTGTGCTGTGTATGGGGCGGATTCTGTTCCCACTGGAGTCATTGGAAGATTTCAGTGAGAGCAGGATCAGACTCTGTTTTAACATGATAGTTCTCATACTGATGATATTTATTATCTGCAGTACATTAGTGCCCACTTTGATTCTTTTTTGTTTTAACACAAGAACTTCACTATACGTAGAAGTTCACTATAACTGGAATTTTAATTTTCACATGCAGTGTATATTGAAAGTATTTAGGACTTTTAACCTACTCCTGTATAAATGGAGATTCATTATTTAGGAATTCAGTACAATTAGGTTCCACTATATATTTAAGAAATCCAGTAGAACATTGAATTTTAAAATCATAACAACACAATATTGTACAGTGTTTTTAATAGTCACATGGTGAGGGCCACATCCCTCATTCCAAACTCTGGCAAAACTCCCACTGACTCTTTAGAAAGCTTGGACACATATTAAAAAAAAAGTCACACCAATTATAAGGAAAGTGTTTCACTGTTAGCCAGTATTTGGATTTTAACTTACAACAATAGTCATAAGTATACATGCTCTTTGTGTTCCTGATAGTGCACTGCAAAAT